AAGCACTGTATGTTGCAGTGTGATAGGCTTTAGATTTTTAACAATATGTTTTAAGGTGATTAATCTGCTGATGTGAGCAGACTGGTTATGCTGCAGGGAGCGGAAGGGCAATGGCATTCAGGGATGAGAGACTGCCCAGAAGTTCATGGTGTGCTTCTCCTCCTCACTTGCAATTCTTGCCTCCCTTCCAGCTCTACTCAGCCATCCTGTATATTTGCATAGCCTACATAAAGCAGTAGTGAGTGGAGCAATCTCCCTCTTCTGTCCCAGAGCTGCTCTGCTGGCTTGTACATCTGGATGTGTTTTTCCCCAGCTCCATTGGAAAGAAAGGGCAAGCTGTGTCCCCTGTGAGGAGGACTCCAGGTTGGAGGTCGAGATCTGCTAACAAGGGCTGTGAGCTCTACCTCTTGTCAGGGATTTCCTCATAATTAGCTCTCAGCAGACACACATGGTGTATGCACCAATTTCAGGTGTCTCTCAGTGAGTTGAGTGTTTGGGGTAGGTTCTGGTTGTCTTCTGCTTCTGCTGACCTGCTTGCTGTCCAGGGGTCCTGCACGTTTACTGCATCAGTTTCTTATGATCTTTGCTTTGTGGATTAGGATAATAACACTGCCCTACGTGACACATTGTTGGAAAAAACCCACCTGAAATATCTGAGGCCCTTGGAAGTGGGAGCTTATGTGGAGTAACAGTACATTTGAGTGGACTGAAAAAGTTGCGGTTGTGCAGGAGACCACTGTTGTTGCTTTTTAGATCCACACATCCAGAGTCTATAGTCCTTCTTTTCCACTCACAAATATTTTTCTATTTGCCGTGCAGGCAGCCAACTTCACAAACAGTCCCAGTTTGGAACTGGTGGTTTTCAATAGTGTGCTTTGGTAACTTGATTTAAACTGATCCAAATTTGAACCCCTGCTGAAAAGAAGATCCCATGATATACTGACACCTTCTTCCTTGTCCCAGCATTTGTGAAACTGCTGCTTTATACTGAGCTGACTCTGGAAATTGATCTGGCTGAACATTCTCCCAGCCAAAGTGTGGGGCGGGAGGAGAAGCAATTTTCAGCCTGTTTGTCAGACTGCATCTGAAATGGCAATTCATGTTCCACCTACAAAAACGTATTGCTTGGGTTGTCTACTTATCACCAGTTTTGCATCATTAAGTGTTATGCATTCTTGGCCTGATATAATTGCAGCAGATTGCACACATGAACTGTTAATTATTTTATTTTTAAAACAGAAATTGCAGAACAGGAAAATAACATTCCAACATGTTTGCTTTTGGAGTTAACCCACCATGGCAATCTGTTAGTTTGATAATGGTTAAACTCTTAAACCCTTGCCTCAACAGGGTGCAGTAGGGTACCATTAAGGCAGCCATCTGTTGAACATACATACTGGAGGCATGAATTGCCTTGTGGTTTGGGTTTCTGACTAGTTATAATATATTCATGTTTTGTGGATGCCACTGATCTAACACTGGAAAATGCATGGAAAAGATCAGAGTTCAGTGAAAGGTGAGTATCCAAATTTGGGATCGATGCCTGAGATCCCACGGAGCAGGGAAGAGATGAAACCTCGTGGGTGTACACATGCTGATAGTAAATGCTGCTCTCTGGCAAGAGTCTCAGCTGCTTGAGTTGCTTAGCGATTCAATAGATCTGTAAAACTCCATTTGCAGACCAGGGCTACCATTATGTTGGATTGATTCATCAGGATGAGCAGCTAAAACAAGTTAAATTCTATCAGAGTTTTCCTGCATGAATTTAAAAATGAATTTAGTTGGTTCTAAATGGACATTTGTTTTAGTATCTTGAAGAACTGACTTTCCTCTATTAAAGCAGAATAATGTATCTATATGGTGCCCTAACTTGAACAGTACATAAAGATTAGTAAATAAGACCCCATTAAAAATACTTATAATGTAAGTAACATGGGTCCCAGTAGCCTTTCTAATGTCCATTAATGCTTATTCTGAGGATCAGAGCTCATTTTACTGAGCCATTTAGTCAAACCGTGTGATTATTTAGAAAGTTAATTCATGCATACTAAAATCTAGCTTAAGTAATGCAGAGGGTAGGAGGTAAAACTCTATGGAGACGATAGTCCTTTTTGTTATTTAATGATCAGCCATAATTAACTTGCAAATTTGAAATAATTAGAACAAATTAAAGGTATTTAACTTTGCCTCCCTAAAGAAAAATTCAAATTGCACCAAATGCAGCTTTAAATTATTCAAGTCTCAGAGGTCTGTGCTGGGTTTTTTTACAATGCCTTTTCTATGATGAGAATACCAATCTGCTTTTTGTCAGAAAGCATCCTATCAAGTAATTGTTCTTTGTGTCTAATAAATGACAGCTATTCTTCTTTGTAAAAGTATTTCAGTCTCTGAAGACTACATCAGCATTTCCATGGCATTTTAATTCAATAAAACAAAAGGTTAATGTTTTTCTACTTTTTAAGGAATGCAAATACTAGCAGTATTCAATGGGTCCTGAATGACATTTAAAATTTGCCATTCATGCTCAGCGGGGATATCGCGATAAGAGGCGCAGACAAAATGGAAAAAAAGCATTCAAGGTGTGTTTTGCTTTGTTGGTGATGTACTTGGATATTCATAAGGAAGCAGCAGTGATGAGACTGTCCATGCCACTCTGCAACTTCTGCCTTAGTATGTAGGCTAGGTAGGTTAATAAGGTCTTTATTTAGACAGTCTTCTCTGTTGTGTAGTTCCAGGGAATAGCACGAAGATTAATCGGATATCATGGTGCCTTGCAGGAAGTCCAACAAACCACACTGCATTTGAGTGATACAATGGATTGCTGAATTTGAAAATAGAGAAGGAACTGTTTTGTCACTTAATCTGTCTAGCTATGCGTAACTGATCCCTTTGGACCATATGTTAGTTTAAATTTTCAAGATGGCAGGAGTCACATCACTTATCTTACTGATTATTCCACAGGTGAATGAGTAACTATGTTCTGAAATAGACATACAAAACCCCCCCTTATGTTTTCTTTGTTTAATTTTGGTACATCGTTAATTACTGTTTTTTTTGTATCTCTCCTCATGATCCCTCTCTCTTCTTGGTATGCACATTTCTCAGGTGTTTGTTGAGGTTGTTATTAATTGTTTAGTGATCTATAAGAGCAAATACACTTGTTTTTGTTATTTCTTCATAAATTACCTTCTGTAACTTCTTAGTGTGTGTTCCTCTTTGAATTGTCTCTGCCTTAGCATCATTTAAACCAGAACTCAGTATTCTAGAAGTAACTGCACCGTGTAAAAGGTATCACAGCGAAAAAGTGGAATAATTGCTTCCTCATCCACAAGCCAAAGGTCACTGTGTTCACAGAAGATCTGAAGGTTGTAATTAAACGTACTTTAAAAACTCAGAAAGCATCTAAATAATGACAACCTTATTGTGTTTTAAATGCTGCTAATCATCCAAGTACAGGCAAATGCAATGTCAAGTCCTGTATTATCAGAGAAATCTGGTCAAGTATTGCACCTTTAAGCCTCTTCAAACATTTACTAGGGTCTAACCCCACTTCTGGCTGGGTTGCAGGAATTAGTAGGTTAATAATTTCATATAATTCAAATAAGATACTAATTTAGTCGCCATAAATTTTAATAACACTTTGCAACATTATTAGTGGCCACAGTTTGAAGCCCTGAAGTAAACGGAGGTTATTCAGAGAAGTTTTATCCAACACTTCAGCCAGTTATTACAGGTCATAAACCATTAGATACTGTTCTGCATTAATAATACAGGAGTAATACTAATTGTCCAACAGGCGCAGTGGGCCCTATTAAACAATGGCTTATACAGCACATTGATTTGAAACTTAATTTAGCTATCATTTTCTGAGGGGAACATCAAATACCTGCGTTTTCCTTCACATGTACAGTAACTTCATAGTGTAAGCTTTCAGATAAAAGTTTCTTGTGAATGAGCCTCCACAAAGCTGTACCCCAGATAACACAAACTCAGTGGCAGTCTTTGGGTTGCCCATGTAAAATTGGTGCTTAAACAGGAAAATGATTTGTTTAATCTTCTGTTAACATAGGAAAGCTGTATGTCACTTCCATGTTTGCAAGTAGAGCAGTATTATCTTGGGTTGAATTGTATTTTTTCATGGGGATAATCCAAAGTTTTCTTTTTGTATGTGTTTTTAATTGCTTTTTTTATGACGGTGTGGGGGCTAATGACATATGTTGGGAGTCCTCATTTAAAGCGGTAGTTGTTTTCAAGATGGCAGAATTTGAAAGCAGGTTGTCTTCACTGAGGGAAAGATGGGTCTCCACAGGCTCCCGTCTTCCACAACTGCTTGCTCCACACCACCAGATTTGCCTCCTGGTGCTGTCTGTGCTGTGTTTATGATCTTGTGCTGAAGATCATCTTGAGCCATACTGGTTTTGGTTAGCCTTCTTTCCTTAAACTGCTGCACTTGCTTCACCAAATACTCTTGCACCAGTTTGTTCATACATTCTCTCTCCTGCTTACAGGTAGCTCTGTTCATTCATCTCATCTTCTTTTGTATCTCATTTATTTTCTTCTTGAATGGAGGTATTGCCATCCTGGTGATATTTAAAAAGCATGTAGATGTGGTGCTTAGGGACATAGTTTAGTGGTGGACTCGGCAGTGTTGTCTTCCTGGTTGGCCCTAGTGATCTTAAAGGTCTTCTCTAACCTAAACAATTCTATCATTTTATGATCTGCTTCCCTGTTGCAAACCATGGCTCCATGGCTTCTCTTCACTTAATCTTCTCTATTTCCTCTTCGCAAAGTGAGCATTTTTTTAGTTACTGTTTCTTCCAACCTTGCTCCGCTGTGCTGGACAAAGCCCTTTCTGTATCTTCATCCCACTTGCCCTGTCCAAACAATTCAGGAAATACAGGACCTAATGCTTCCAGGGAGTGAAAATGTGGGAGAGGGCTGTGTGCAGCATTGAAAGGTCTGAATGCATCATGTAACTCCATGATCTTTCTTTCCCCCAGTGTGCCAGTGTCGAAACGTGAAGATTACTTTCCAAGGACACCTCCAGTGAACAAAGCCTCCAGAACACCAGGAAGTGGTGGGAGTAGTTTGGGGAAGAAAATGATTGGGTTTGGTGCAAACATGCAAGATGAGAGAACCCTTCTTGTGCAAACCAAGAGGGAAGGCACCAAGTCAAGGAAAGGTAAGGGGAAGCACACTGTATTGCGGGGCCATGAGTGTGCTGATGGCATTTTAGAAATTTCAGATATAGGATTCAAGAGCTTATCAGTAAAATGCACAATCAGAAGGAAAGGATTGCAAGTGGCTTGAAACAACCCGAGAGAAGGGAGCTACATTTAAAATAATAAAGCGCATAGAAAGCCTTGTAAGTAACAAGTGATCTTCCTGGCTGGTGTTCCTGATGGAAAGGAGAAAAATAGCCCTTTAATCTCAAAAAGCTACTTCAACAATTCTTTTTCTTTCCCAGCAAGCAGAGAGAATAAGTGCAGTGGGGCTTGCTCATGAAATGTAATCTTCTTCGTATTCTTTTCCTCCCCAAGTAATGGGTCCACCATCACAACCTCATATTTTGCCTCACAGGGTTGTCTGTACAGCTAGAATCTATCCTGCCCTTAGCTTAGTACCTCCACTTAAGGAGCAGAGAAGCAGTCTTTCTTAGAAAGGGTTGGGAACAAAAGCAGCTTGGATGTTTCGCTGCTGAGCCTTGAACATAATCCTTGGTTCAATTATGAGCTACCTTTTTTTTTTTTATTTTAACTTGTCAGCCAGTTTGCTGTATATGTCAGCATAAAAATAAAGAAAATGGCAAAATGAGAAGAAATGTGGTGCAGTTCTCAAAGGAACAAATAACTTGTGTTATTGGTTAAGACTGTACCAACATTAAAAAGCAGTCCCTGTGAAGAAACTTTCAAAAGGGTATCATCAGCCTGGACCCAAACAGTGGCTGAGGTTAATCTCTTCCAAGGCACAGCTACAAAAGTTGGAAGCCTGTAAAGGGCTTGTGTCCAAAAAAATCAATTTCTAATTTGAAACAAAATCATTTTTGACTAACAGGGGTTCAGGACCCATTACTTTTGCTGTATAGTCTGCTGACATTTCACACTTTCTGTTGTGCACAATGAATCCTAATAGTCATTTTATAACATTGCTACACCAATCAATTTAAGCAAGAGAAAGCCGTTACAATTCTGCAAAGTTTCAGGGGCAATTTTCACTGATGGTTTTCTTTTATGGTTTTTTTTTAGCTATCATTATTTTTTTCTTCTCTTTCCCTCTTCCTTCTCCCCCTCCTTCTCAATAGTGTAGTGATGAAATTGAGATTTTTCACAGTTGGATGATGGGTTTTGTTCCTTGGATAGGGGTAGTCTCCAAAAAGGTAATTTATTTGCCATAGATTTGGGGAAAAAAATCCAAGCTGGCCTCTTCTTCATTCATTTCATTTTGTAGTACTTAGGAGAAGTTACAAGCTGCACCATGCTATTGCACATAACAATTGAGCTGCACATATGCTGATTTAGTGATTGTAGTGGTCAGCATATTGTCTGAAGATGGTGGGTGTCTTTCGCAAACACTTACTGGGATTTCTGGCTTTGAAGATGTAGAGCTGTGTGGCAAAATTTAACTTACAAACATTGGCACTTGCTGTGATACCAGATAAATTTCAGAGAAATGCTTTCAAGCTGTGGAACAACCTGAGGTCTATTACTGATTTGAATGGCTTGTTTATCACAAGGCAAATTACCTAGCACTAATCACTGAAGTTGAGTCTTCTGTATTTAGTATCTTTTTAATTGGCTTCCTTCTGTTATATGTTTGGACTTCTTTAACAAGCATACACATATACTTCTAAAGTATTTTTTCCATCTTTGGATATCACCAGGGCACAATGTTAAGTTTCTTAATTCCAGTTAGCTCTGGACATAGCTGCCTCTGTCCTTGTTTCTTCTGGATCTTCCCATCTGTTGCTGACCTGGGATTTCTGCATCAGAATTTATTGTTTTATTGGGAAGCAATTATAAAGCATCTAGCAAAAACAAAATAAGGGATGCTAACACTGTTTACTGTGGTGTAATTTATAACAGTATGGTGTTTGCCTTACTGTGTCAGAGTGCTGAACCAGCAAGCCTGGGTATCTTGGATCCCACTACTGCAGTGCGTTTACCTCAGCTCTCTAGCTAAGCCATGTGATGTGGGAAAGGGGAATGAAGTCAACAAGACAACATCTTGAGGAATGAAACTCAATATTATTTAACCCCATACCTTAAGGTGGCCTTTTGGTCAGAAAACAGCAGTGCTGGACACTGTATACGGAAACATGTCCACTGAAAGCTTCTTGAGAGTCAAATGCTAACCTATTGCTACAGAGGTTTATTTTTCTCATGCCTTGATCTTTCTTTTCTATTCTATTTAAACTGTATATTCTTCAGGATGGGCACTCTCTCCAGGCACACCTTAGTGCAGTGCCAGTAGTGATGTGGGTCTTTGGGCTCACTATGTAATCTCTTTGTACCACTGGAAACGGTGGTTGTATCCGGGCTATGGTGCAGCTTATGATAGTGTCCCTCCACAGCGACATACGCAGTTGTACCAGGTTTTTGTGTTCAACTACCTCTGACTTCTTAGATTTTTTTTGAGAAGATAAAAGGAAAACATTCCCATACTGGAATGGTGGAAGGCTTTACTGTTCGAAGGACTGTTTGCTTACTTTGAGTGCGGTGTTTGGAAGGCTCACGTTCCAAACCCACTTGTTTCTCCCTGCAGATGTTTAGTAATGGGGAGAAGAGCAAGAAGAACATTGTTAACCTGTTTCCATCACCTCACGGAGTGGAAGGGGCACTTTTGCCCTCTTTTCAGGGTAGAAGCTTAGTGGATCAACTTAGGCAACCAGCTTTTATTCTCACTGTTGCTTTTTGTCTCCTGTTTCTATTTGCTCCTTAAATTTTATTCCTGTGCTTTAGGAGGTGCTTTTGTCTTTTAGACAAACTTTTTTAGTTTTACCAACAAAACTTTAAATAGATGAAAAAATCCTGAAGTCTTAGATCTTTCCAGCAGTAAATTGTTTTTGTTGGTGTCACCACCAGCTATGTCAATTTGTACTAAAATCTAACAACTCTGGTTAAAAAGCACTGGAGCACAGAAAGAAGTGTTTCTCTTCCTTTCTGCCCTGGAAAATTTTACTTCTAGGCTGTGAAACTAAACTATATTCTATCCATTGTGTTCTGCAATTTTGGGCACTTCTTTACATTTTTGTTTAAAGTCTTCCTCTTCACAACACTTCCTGAAATACCTTTACATTGAAACAAAGAAAGAACTAATTTTCCCCTTTCTTTTAGGGGGATATAGCATCTGCATGGTATTGAATAGCATGCATAGCTTTCCTTTCCATATGTAAAAGAAAAAGGCCAGGGAGGGAAAGTTATTTTGGCTCACAGAATCTGTACTTTTCCAGGGGCTGTTTTTTCAGTAGGTTTTCTAAGAGAGCTTCTTTGGGATTTAGAATCTGGAACTTCTTCCCTAGAGGGAAGACTCTTCCCTACAATTGAACAGAGCAATTAGTTAATATTAGTGAAGCACTTTGAAGATGTGAAGTACTATATAAATGTTAAGTATTATGAATATTAGTATTATTCAATTCATAAAGATTTATTTTATGATTATGAACCTAGATTTCCCTTTGCTTACTTGCATCCCATTACTGCTGGAACCAGCCTTAAATGTATTTCTTCATTCTTAGTGTTTACACTTCCAAAATGTGGACTGCTGTATTTCTCCATGTTCTTCATGCTTTAGTTGTCTGTTCCTCAAGTAGAAATAGACAGCTATTTGAATTTTCTTGAATGAGTCTTTAATCTATTTTAAATCATTCCCATACCAAGTTAACCAAATTGAAAATAGTATTTTTAACATTACCATTTAGAAGACATCTATAATTGCTTTGGGATAGCTTGCCTTGCAAGCTTATATCTAGTTTGTTTTTTGCTAATCTTTGCTACCCCAGGTTCTCTCCATTGCTGTCAGATTATCACACCATATATGAGCCTTTTTTTTTTTACCAAGGGTGAATGTGTCTGTTCTTTTTCCATGTTTCTTGCTTCTCTAGATCATCTGCAAGGTCTCCAGTCTCATACCGTCTTCCAACACCTGCAAATCTAATTAATTTGCTGTCATTTGTATCACCTTGGTTCTCTATGACTTTTCATAAATAATTACCAGTCACTTCATAAATTCATTAACTAATTCCCTTTAGCCCTGAAATATATATCCTTCAGACTAAAGAATTTGTATCTCTTTTTTCCCTGATAATGTCTTTTAATCAGCTTTATATAGGCAGGTATTATACATCAACACGGTCTTCATTATCTCCTACTTGCCAATATTCCTTTTTGTTATTTTTTTTTCTCATAGCATATTTTAAAATTATTAGTAGCTTGGTCACTTTGGAATCGTTATTGATTTAATCTTCATATGTTCATAGACCTGCTTGCTCTTTGGTGTTTCTTTTGCCTCAGTTGACTTGCATGCCTTTGTCAAGATGTATTTTTAAACATTTTTTTGTTTAGGTATGCACTTATTCAGGATTTTTTGCCAGCCCTGTTTTATATCTGCGCAGCATAACAGCCTCAGTATATTCCTACTTAGTTCCTTTTCTTGTACTCCATTTCCAGACCTGGTAATATTTGCAGACTTGGGTCTCTGAACAGTCCCCTTGAGGCTGTATTGGCCACTTCCGAGTTCATATATTTTGTTTTTCAGAGAAATACATCTACTTCGCTATGAAGGTAGTGTGTTGACAGTGTGCCAGCCTTTTCTCTTAGTAGGAATTGAATATATTCTCCTACTCACCAGGTTTTTATTACTTTGGTCTTATTTTCTTAAAATCCAGCTGCCTCATTCCACTGTCATGTGAAATGATTTCTAAATATCTCTTATTCGATCTTAAAGCCAAGAGTCTAAGCAAGAGGCTTCCAGTCTTTATAAGCATACCCACTCTTCTCATCCTGGATTGGCATACTATCAAGTTACCAGGGACACACAATCAACACATATCCCCATGATATTTCTAAGAGTTCCTTCGCTGATAATTAACTCTTTGTAAGGCGAGATCTTTTCACTGCATGGTACTGAAGCACAATGCATGACAGGAGGGCAATAAGAACCCATTGTATTTTTTTGTTAGTCTCCCTGGAACACACCTTTAAACGTGGGTTTACAATATTGTATGTATTTACATACATCTTAATGCAGTATTTAATCTTAATGCAGTATGTAATCTCTTGAACATCTGTAAATTTTGCACTGACGCTGGAATTACAACCTTGTTGCTTCATGTTTCAGCATGGATGGTAGATAATGTTTCTGTTCACAGAGCTGGGAAATATTTAGGCATGACAGAATTACTTAAAGAGCTAAATACTGATTTGACTTTAATTTTTGCTGAGACTTGGAGATTTCCCTATAGTTACTATTTAGTTAAGTGAAGTTGATTGGACAGAACTAATAAGGCTAGAATATAAAAGCCCACACTCACAGGCTTTTGCATAGTAGCTCACATTACTTCTAATTTGCGTATTCCACTTACCTTTGACTACCTGTAAGCAAGTTGTCTGAACTAAATCCTATCTATAAAACCCAATTCTCAGCTGGGTGGGTGAAAGGTGGAAAGATAGGTGGAAAATTGGCTGTACCACCAGCCTCAAAGGGTGGTCATCGGTCCAGCTGGCAGACACTTGCTAGTGGTTAATTGCTTAACATTAACAACCTGGACAGTGGGACAGGATGAACCTTCAGCAAGTTTGCAGATAACACCAACTGTGGAAGTGGTCACTATGCTGCAGGGTAGGGCACAGTGTTCAAGGGACCTTACAGGTTAGGAAAATGGTTTGACGGAAACCTGCTTAGGTTAAACAATGGGAAATGCCAGTTTCTGCAACAAGGTTGGACCAGTCTCGTGTAACAGGGCCAACAGGGCAACTTACAAAGCAGTTTTGCCAGAAAAGGGCTGAGCATCCTGCTGAACATTAAGTTGACCACGAGTCAGCAGTGTGCCTGTGTGCTGGAGTAGCCAAACCTCATACTAGGCCATAAGAGAAACATTCTGGTCATCAGTTTGATGAAGTGACACGTGCCCTCTGATCAGCTCTGGTGAGACTGTATCTCGAAAGTGCTGCGCCCAGTTTGGGGCTTCACAGTGCAAGAACATTGACAAGCTGTAGGAAGTCTAGCAGAGGCAACCAGGACAGTCAGGGCGTTGGAGCATATGACTGCTGGGGGAGGGTGAGGAAGCTGGGTGCAGAGATGATGCAGCACATGTGTTCTGAGTTCTTCAGGTACCTAACGAGAGAGTGTTAGAGAAGAGGGAATCAGACTGTTGTTGGGAGAGATGGTGAAGGTTACAACTCCAGAAATTCTGATCAGCTATACAGCAAACATTTTTTTGCTGTGAGGATGGTCAAACACTGGAACCAGAGAAGCTGTCCAGAGAGGTTGGTTTGCTATCAATGGAGACATTCAAAATCTAACTGGACAAGTGCCTTAAACCTGGTCTAGTTGGCCCTGCTTTGAATGGAGGATTCGGCTATATGACCTCCAGGTTTCACCTTTCAATGTAGAATACTTTGTAATTCAGGAGTTATTGGGGTAGAGGAAAGAAGGAGTGGACGAACAGTTTTATTTTATTGGAAGAAAATACTGTTACAGGGATATTTACACTTGGAAAGTTAGCATCTTGTAGCATGTCATGAGAACTGCATTTGTGAAACAAGCTGAATCCTGTGAACCACTGTACGAAATGATAACAAGTCTCTCAAACTTTGGGCAGCAAGATGGAGACTGTATAGTGTGACTTACTCTGTAGATTTGATTCTCTGCGATCCTGAAGTGCATGCTATGGACATTACTGTCAGCTGATTGCCATTTCACTGTATATATGGCAATCCAAAAGTGTTGCAACTTTTAGTCCCAGTGTTCTGTAATAATGCAGAATCACAAAACATCTGTCCAAAAATTCCTAGCTTCTGATAATGTGGCTTGTCTTCACTTCATTCCACAGGGACAACTTCAGGACCTAGGAAGGATGCAGCTACATCTCCCATACTGATAGGCAGCAGCACATCCCCAATCCAGCATGACATTTCACAGTAAGTCACTAGGTAATCTCTGGTTTAAAATTCTGCAAACACAACCATCAAATTCTCCTAGATGCACGGAAGTAACCGAATTTCTATGATATTTCATATTAGCACGAGCTGGATAATACAAACTAAAAACTAAAATATCCTTTTGACATTTATAGTATGCCTTAAATTACTTGTTAGAATAAGAAGAGCAGGAATATGCCAAGTTCTAACATTTTAATTTTGCTTAGATTTTGAACAGAAAGTATGTTATGTTCCAAGTCCTGACACATTAAATACATTTGTAAATAATTTGAATGGATGGTGTTAACCCCCTGTTAGATTTTTAAATCCACTTGAAGTTCTTAATCCCCCTGTACTTAACCCCCTCATATTTAATCAAATGGCATTTCTTTTAAAATGTTTTGTACAAGAGTTGTTTTATGTTTAATGACAAGCAACAAAATCACATTAAGTCAGCAATTCCTGATTATACTATATATCTGCACTAAACGCACTGGAAAAGCAGCATTATCGCTTCTGCTCCAATGAAGAAACAGAAAGCAGCATTGTTGTTACACTTACGACATGAAAAACAACTTGCCTTCTTTAGGTAGGATTACAATTCTAGCAGTAAGTGCCTAGAAAAACAGCGTACAATCCTTGTTTTTCGTTATCATATCCCACATTTTCTTATAATAATATCTTAATTAAGCAACAAAGTAAACGGAGGCAAAAGTATGAATTTGCTGTGTTTTACACTGCTGGGTGGATGATTTTGTGCAGTGGGATGGCAAGAATGTATGACCATTCTTAGGAAGAGTTAAATGTTTCTTGGAGAATGAGAGGGCTTGAGTCAGATTTAATATTCTCTTGGCCCAGTGGGCTAGGAAAATGTATGCCTGATATCATCCCTGTATTCTTGGCAGAAGCTGGCAGTTTATTTCTATCTTCTGAGAGAACTTGCAATATATAATAGGTGGTAAACTACTACCAATATTGACAAATTTGTACTTACTTGCTATAGAAACACTTCTTTTTTCCTTCTGAATGAAGGGATGGTAATTCTGGAAGGATTTAAGAACTGGGATAGATTGTGCTCTGTTTCCCACATGTAACAGTATGTTTAAACCCATAGAAACTACAGGATTGCCTAAGCATTTCTCTTAAAAGCAAGGGTTACCTTTGCAGGGTGGTAATATCAGATAAAGAGTGTGTAAAGGCATAGCTTGATACCGTCTAATAGTGATAAGTTGAAATTCCATTCAAGCACTGAGGAGTAGATATAATTATTCACATCATACACAACTGTTCAGAAAAAGGAATTTTATTCAAGAGGATTGATGGTCCATTCTTTTCCACAGAGGGGAGTAAAACATTTGTTGAAATATGCAGTTAGAAATCATATCAGATAAAGTGATCAGTAAAAGGAGTCTGATTAGCTGTCATCCTTAAAGGTTTATTGTACCAGTTGATGACAAATTGTGAAAAATCCTGTATTTCTGGGTGCTGTCTTGCATGCTTCCTTGCCTTCTTTCTCTCTGCTGGTGCTGTAAGTATAATTGACCAGTTTAAGCAGCCATGTTGTGCTTTCCCTTACTCATGGCCTTCTCTAATTGAAAATGGTAAATGGACAAGTATTTCTGTGGAGACCTAAAGCTGATCCTATCCTTCATCAAAAAACCTGCTTGGGCAGCAGGTCAGTCTCAATTTATCATGCAATGGTAATAAGCTTAGACTGCAGGTTTAACTAACTAAATTAATCAATATTGAGAATTATTGCTGCTTTTGTGCCACTAAAGTTAGGTTTGTCAGCATGTTAGTTATAATCTGTGATTCTGGGGAGGGAGAGGGAGTTAACAGCTTAACCACAACAGTTGACCCAAGCCTGAAACTTACAGCACAAAGCCCTAGCCCGAGAGCGAATTTATTTATTCAGCAGTATGTGTAAACCTAATTACTTCTGACTATTTAAATTTATAGGACTAGATTCAACTCATGTTTGTGCCAGCTTTAACTAGCACGAACCCTGGCACCCGGCAGTAGCAGCAATGGAAAGCCTGCCAGGGAGAAGGTGTTGGAAAGCGACAGAAGCTCCCTGCCAGCACAAGGCATCAGGGTGCTTGCGTAGCTTCTGGGGAGGGCTGGCTGGATAAGCAGGCATGGCAGGTAGAAGATGCGATGGCTTGATAGCCTGTCTTGGCAGTGCTTGACTGGAGGCTTCAGTGTGTTACAGCTACCTCATGCTTGAGGAAGAATCACTGCAGTCCTGCTTTATTCTCTGTCATGGAATGAATCATGTCTGGGACAAGAAATATGTGTCCCTAGAAGGTAAAAAGGTGTGTGCTTCGAGAGCCTTAGTGCTAGACCTGTAGAAGGACCAGACTTGCAGAATGAGTGTGCACAAGGTAGTTTCAGTGATATCTCTGAAAGAAAAATAGCATTTCTTTATCTGGCATCCTTAGTTGGGCTAATAGTGGACTTGTTTGCCCATCGTGCTTCTACATATAACAGAGTAGGTATGTTATGCTGAGTGATAGGAAATACGACACTGCTTTTCATAATAAAGCCAAGCATTGCATGTTTGATTATCCAGTGTTCTTAAGCCAATGTCTACACCTGCATGAGCCCCTTGAAAATATGTTCACAGCAGGTCTGGAAAGCATTTCCACTCATGTACTTATTTATCCAGACCAGAGCCCATATACTGGGGATAAAAAAACTCCCACAGGCAAGGTTGGGGTTGTGCAAATCTGGAAGAATAAGTTTGTTCCTAAAAGCGTAATTCCTCTTGACTATTTAAACATTACCTTTTTGTTGATTTGGGATGTCTTTGTCATAACTGTTGTTTGCCTAGAAGGAAGACTCGTTTTGGCTGTGAGTTGGAAAGGAGCTGGAAAGTAGGGGGTAGTGGCATTTGTATGGTTTCATTTAGTAATGAAGTAGTTTTTACATAAACTAGATCTTACCTTGGGTATAATCAGGTACTGATTTCAGCTAAACAAGTGTTGTGCTGCAAAACAGAAATGAGACTGCTCTAAATCAAAGTATTAAGCTATTTTTTTTTTCTACAAAAATGTTATAAATTGTGCCTTGTGAAAGACCATTTAATTTGATTACAGCTCTGGTGCAATTGTCAGGCTCTCCCCACGCAGAAACAGTTGTAGTGTTGAGTTTGGCACAATAAGTCCTATAACACTGCAGATAATCAAGCACTTAAAAAGATACCAGCAAAGGTTGTTCTGCTCACCATGGAAACAGATAATTCTCCTGTAGCATTTTTCACTTCAGGCATCTAAGAAGTGAATTTAAGAAGAGTTAGGTAAATTAAGGGATTGAGTGATAGTCTGGGATTTAAGCATTAAGCCTGTGTTTTCTTGTTGCAGTTTTAAATCAAGAGCTTTAATGCTAGCTGAATCCATTGTCTTGGAGTGAAGTTTCTTGTAGCCATTAAAATAAGTGATTTAGAAGTTCCTGCAATATGAATACTATATTCGAGCTATATTATTATCTGTTAGACTACAGTGGCCTGTTGGAGTTTTTATAAACAGATTGTAATGTGTAAATTTCTGTTCAGGGACATTTTAAAAACAAAACTATTTACCCAATTGCCCAGCATATCTCAGGTGAATGTGTATTCAGGGACTTTTAAGCAAATTAATATCTGATGTAAAAATATAACGTGCAGAGTTGTATACTTAATAATGCACACTGGAATAGTCTAGAGTAGATCTGTTAGGCTGAGTGTTAGGAAATACGATAGTGATAAGATTTAAGCTTTTGCCTTACATATGTGGTGGTTGTCTTTCAGATCTGTGCATGCTGGATGCTTAAATATGGTTCTGCTCTTAAGATGATACAATGAAGTTTCTTCTAGTGTAGAGTCCAAGCGAGCACTGCAAAGAAATAGATACTTTTTTCCCCCCTTAGGATCAGACGCCATTCAAGATTCAAAAGGAGAATGAGGAAGATGATGATGAGAAAACTTTCATTCCAAATCAAACTTAAGACCATTTAAAGGCATTAAAAGTTTTGAGTGGAGTGGTGAGTTAGGTGGTGAATGTGTTAGGGGACGTGAGTTTTGCCTTCTCCCTGAGAAAGCCAGCAGCATGAAAAGTCCAATATAGTTCCATATTCAAGTGATAAAACCAGACGTTGGCAAATTAATCTCTCTTATTCACAGTGTAGGTTGTTAATTGTTCTCTCTGCTGGCTGTCGATATAATGTGAAATTTTCATTCCCCATTCAAGATGGAAAAAGTTGTGGCTGAAAATGTTAACATTTGCATTTTTATTTGTTGATTTATTTAAAGGACAGCCTCTCTTACAGCAATCCATCACTCAGTGACACCCCAAATATGAATAATGTATTGTAGACTTGTGGTTACAATATGTAATAAGTGCCAGAGACGGCAGAAGAATGTTAACTATGTTGCAAATGTAATATTTATCGACTCATAGTTTATTGCTTTTGAGGTTCAATAATACTGACCATAGGACATTAATATCACTTATCTTGATTTTAGTTGGGCACCTCTGTATGTAGAAATAAACCATCTATCTCATACTTACAAAATAAATGTGAATTTTACAGTGCTTTGTAAGAAGTGCATTGTAGATTTCTTTGCTTAGTGCTCACAATTCTCCTTTTCTGCCTTCTCATTTGCTTGTGTCTGACATTGATCCCACTCCAGTTGCCTGAGCACCTCAGCATTCTTCTCGAGGCTTTATTTGCTGGCTGCATTATGATCTTGTGCCTCTGATGGTGTTTCCGCCAGTTCTCTCTTCCTGTTAAAGACCAGTATGGAAAAAGACTGATAGTTTTCTAATGCTTCTATCTGAAAAGACACTGCCTGAGAGGCTAAAACAGAGATAGCTTCTCTTTTGGAATGGCATGCATAGGAAATCTAATTCATCTCTCTTTTGGAGGATCATGGGTATCAGAAATAGAAGTGTTTAATTAGGTCAACAGTTGTTATTGCAGTCATGGCATTTATTTTCAGAGAAATTTTTAATCAATGAATAGAAATACATGAGAGCAATTTTGGAAGATTAGTATTTAAAAATCAGTGGATTTAAGAACGAAAATTTTCTTAATAGTCTGTGTAAGAAAAAAATTGCAATGAGGCAAACAGAGTAGCAAGTCAATCAGTAGTAATCATTTCTATCTTCAGTACTTGCTTCAGAGTTCTGCTTCAGAAACTGATACAGGCTGGGCAAACACTACTCCTTATCTATGCTGTTCAGTTACGACCACTCAAAGCTTTGAAGTCTCAGGGGTGAAATGCAGATGTGAACCCAGGATTGGGATCAAAACCAAATTTAACAATGGGAGATTTCAAGCTTGTGTTAAAATCAGATTTCACCTGTGAAGCCTGGCTCTTGGGAAACTTGGAATTGGGTTCAGCCATGAAAATGATAAGCCTTGATTATATTTTGTGTTGTAGACATCATGTAAATTTCAAAATGACATTCTGTATTTACATCTGGGGTTATCAAATTTAACACATCATCAGCTTCTTTTTCTTTACTGTGTGTAACAGGAACACCTATTTGTGTCAAAGCAGCCTACCTAATAGCTGCTTTGCGATAATAGTTTTGGTGTGTCCATTGCTGACAATGAAAAAAATCATATTGGGAAATTTTGTCTTGGAATGCAAAAGGATTAATGTTAATTAGCAACTGTTGGCTGTAATTGTCACCCTCATTAAAATGCAGAATTATGTATTTCTTAGTTATAAATAACCTTTCTAATTGTACTTGATGTATGCCAGTTTAATCAAAAAGTACACTTGCAAACAGGCAGATATTTGCATTAATCTAGGGCTGGATCTCTGAGTCTTTTTTGATCGTCTTTCATTCCAAACTTGACTAGCTGGGGGAGGTCTATTACAGCTACATATCCTTTGCACATTTATTTTTTTTTCAGCTCTGTGGATCTGACAGGATTTTGTATTAAAATGAGGGGAAATGTCTTCTGGGAATGTTCAGTGCAACAGAAAACGTGTCAGTTTTGAAGTAGTTGGCAAGGTTTCCATCATTCAGTGGTATGACAATAACTTGATTGTAGTTTGAAAGCAATAATAAGCAAAGGAAAATAGAGAACAAATCATATTATGAAGCTGACTTAACTCTTTATGTCATTTTCATTGTTATCTTAATTACTTTTTTTTACATTCCTCCCCCCCCCCTTTTGCAGGTTCTCAAATACTATGTTAAATCTTAAGTGAATTTTGGTTCACTGGATGTAATTCCTGTTTGCACTTACAATCACATCAATGAAAGCTTAGTCTCAAAATATTTTCTTTTAATATATTTCAAATTTTCAGGTTATTTCTGTGCTTTCCTTCTTTGTCAAAAAAAAAAAAAGTGATTTGACTGTCTTCCTGCATTGATACTCTGAATGCTCTGCATTGTAGCGTGGAATTACTGTGATGGCAATTCCTACAGAACCTGGCAAATTAAGACTAATCTTGGTTCCCCTCTTCATGGTACTCTAAGGAACTGTTCTGTGTGGTTCTCTTTATAGCAGTGTGGTCACTTCTTTGCTCCTTCTCTTTCACAGGAATCTCCTCTTGGGTTTTGGGGGATGTTTTGTGAGATGGAAGGACTTGATTAGTACATACAGAATAATCGCATCTTAAAGAAGCCATTCTCACAGAAGAGTGTTGGAATAGGATGAGGGATGATGGTTATAAACTAACAGAGGAGAGATTCAGGCTGCATGTGAAGAAGAGATGTTTTACAATGAGGGTGGTAAAATCCTGGCAGAGGTTGCCCAGAGAGGTGGTGGATGTGCCATCCCTGGAGACATTCAAGGCCAGGGTGGATATGGTTCTCTTGGCAGTCTGATCAATTTGAAGATGTCCCTGGTCATTGCAGGGGGGTTGGACCTGATGACCTTTGAGGGTTACTTATAACCCGAACTGATTCTGTCATACTTACATATTAACAAACAAGCCTTCTTCTCTCTTCTTCACCTACACAGGATTTTCAGGCTGAAAGCTCCTTAGGGCAGGATCCTGGCTCAGTACAGCCCCGTGCTTAGTTGCTCCATGTAATAATGATGATTAACGGTGATGCTAAACTATAGTTAGGGTGGAATTCATCTTGTTTATCGTGAGACAACTGAGCTAGTTACCCTCAGCTCCTCTTATGGTCGATGACTTATTCTAGGATCAGCTAAATCACCTTTTGGTGATACCTGTTGTACCGTGGGCTGTAAAATAAGCCTCGAGTAATGCACAATGACATCTTGTTTCTCTTGTAGCTGAGTATGTGGAACCAAAAATAAGTTGTTTGTCATTCATACCTTGATTATGGATTGGAGGCAAATGCAAGCCTAACCTCTGAGCTGCACGGTCAGTGCCTTGATTATTAACACAGTTTTAATGCTTGTGTGATAAATCAAAGGGGAGATACTGAATGCTCTGGGAGAGGGAGTGGATATTTATTGTTGACGCGGGAGTTGTGGACAGCGCAGAGACGATCAATGTGATCAAGCGATTGCCGTTTATTGAGCATCAGACATGATCTTTTATACACAAATCCACACATTGATTATAGGCTGATTGGTTAACATGCCTTGCCAACAAGCTTCTGATTGGGCTTTACACAAAGTTGCTTAATACAAGTTACAACAGCTACTTATGTTTAGCACTAACCTCAACATTCGTACACTGCACTTTCACATCCTGTTTTTTGTTCTTAACGTCGCTAATGTTGCAATTTCATTTCCCCCCACTGCTATCCCTGGCTAACCTCCCCTCTGGCCTAGTGTTTTTCCACTTACAGAGAAGCTCTACTTATGCTGAGAAGCCCGACTCATGCTAACTAAATCCATACAACAATTCCCCCTTTTTTTTTTTTTTTTTGAGGCGGGTGCATTAGTCAATATCTTTATATAACACAGTGATCTCTTCATATTCGGTGCCGAGTCCCAATTCCATGTGTGATTGTTGAACGAGCCAAGCCTTTGGAATGAACCTCATACACAAAGCCTTCCCACATGCAAAAATTCCACAACCAATAATCAGTAACACCAACAACGTGATTAACAATTCTGCTGGGCTATACAGTAAAGGTCGCAGCCAGCTGCTAAACCCCAACTGAGCTAGCCAATTGTCTAAACCTTGTTCCACTTTAATCATATTTACATGTTCTTGCATTTGCTGCAACCGCTTCTGAATAGATTGTGAATGATCGGTTAGATTAAAACAACACATGCCTTCAAAATCATTACAGCCATGCCCATGAGCTAATAATAAAAAATCAATAGCCGCGCGATTCTGCAAAATAGCCGTGCGACTACTATCTGTATCTTTCATGAGGTCTGTTAAAACTGCAGATGTAAGATTGGCTTGTTTCACAATCCAACAAGCAAGCTTTTGCAAATTAGCATTAGCAATAGTTGCTGCACACCCAGGACAAAAAAATACTTGTTAAGGCATTTTCGACTTTACCCAAAAGCGTTACAGAGTCCTTACAGGTGCTCTCTAGCTTAGTAAGAAATCTACGAGATCAAACCAAAGTAGTTTTGTTTAACAGAGATACCGATGGAGCTACAAGACTAAGACGTCCCAAATAACATGGTCCACCAAGGGGATGTTTTGGGATACCTTGCCAGGCGCGATTACCACAAATCAAAAAAACTCCCTTAGGCAAAGCTAATGACATGTTTGGAAAAAGTTCATACCGGCCAAACTTTTCTAGACCTACAGCTCCCCCACACCATGCTCGGGCCTCAGAAGCATCCCGTATCCCATAAATACCTGATCCAGACACATCTGTCCACACATCAAGTAGATAACACTGTATGCCAATACGAGAACTTACACACCTTGCTTTAGCGGGGTCATCAATTATATTAGCGCTAAAGCCAGAGCACAAGCCATCTTTAGTTCCATTTATGGATCCTGCCAGCTGCACTTCCTGTGGATCCCACGGTAAAGCTTTATTCAAATGCTGAATCAAAAAAACGGACATCCAAGCTAGTGTCCGGTTTGCGATATAACCATTGATACAACCTCCACACCAAATCTGTTTGTTGGCCTGGGGCTGTTGGCAGGCCGTCTGATTTCCATTACACCAGTTATCAGACACACTAGCCTTGTCTCCTTCCTGTTGCAATGGTTCGGTTAGCTAACGAAATGTTACTTGTATATTCCACAAATCTTTCTGGCTCCAAAGAGGGTATACCAATTAAACAAGTGCGGAATGGGTCAGACACGGCTGTTAAAGACACACAAAAACTAGAAGTGTTGGTTCTGTTCGCCCGTGTTACCCATATGTTGTCTCGAGGCAAAGCCATGCTTAAGAGTGGGTCTTCCAGACCTTTTGCTACAGCATTCACCCAGGCAATTAAAATGAGCAGCCTCGCCGATCTGGTTTGACCCATCGGCTGGGTACCCATAGTGGTCCAGAATCTTGGAAATCCGCATTAATTAATCCTGGGACTACAAAGATACCCTGACAGGAGACAGAGGATCACCCAATCAATAAGGCACTAAGTCCATGCCCCAGCAGTCCCCATAATTGTGACTCTATCAAATGCACTTGAGAGTCACTCAACGTAACAGTTACTGTGGTTGCCATGTCCACTCCTGCACTGCCGATGGTTGCTGAGGCAATGCAGTCCAGGCACTCTTCATTTGTGTCGGAGCGTGAGGGTAAGCGC